TTAATACAAGAATCAAAATTGAGATGTGGTCTTAATACAAGAATCAAAATTGACTGAGGTGGACAAGAAATGGGTGAGGAGCATCTGGTCAACAAGAAATTTGAGTTGGGCCTTTGCACAATCGTGGGGAGCTTCAGGGGGAATTATTACTTTGTGGAGAAACGAAGACTGGGAGTGTGAAGAAGAATTAATTGGGAACTTCTCGGTGTCAATAAAATTGAAGAGAAAGGAAGATGGGTAGGCTTGGGTGATAACTAATGTCTATGGTCCCACCTCTTACAGGGAAAGGGAAGGTTTTTGGGAAGAACTAGCAGCCGTTAGGAGTTTGTGGGATGGCCCTTGGTGTTTAGGTGGAGATTTCAATGTAATAAGATTCTTGAACGAGTCCAATAACCGTAGTCGTAGGATTACATCTAGCATGAGGAAGTTTAATCTTTTTGTGGAGAATTTTGCATTGCGGGACCTCCCTCTTTAGCAAGCAAATTTTACCTGGTCAAACTTTCAAGAAAATCCTATCTGTTGTCGATTGGATATGTTCCTCTTTACAGTGGATTGGGAAGCTGAATGGGGGATTTTAGGTGTTACAGCATTGCCGAGACCTATTTCAGATCATTGTCCAATCAGGTTGTCTCAAGAAAGACTAGATGGAGGCCCGTGCCCTTTTAGGTTTGAAAACATGTGGTTACTTCATCCAGAGTTTCTAGCTAAGGTAAAAGAATGGTGGGAAGTGGACCAAGTGGAATTCCAATGGAAGGGGTATAGGTTTTACAAGAAACTACAACTCTTGAAAGCTAGACTCAAGATTTGGAATAAAGAGGTTTTTGGTAGATTAGAGCAAAGGAAAGTGGAAATCAGTCAGAGAGTTAGGAGCTAAATGGACTAGAAGCTGAAAGAAGGATGTGGGAAGAGGGTAGGGTGGAAAGATGGAATTTGAAACATGAACTGGAAGATCTTCATAGGAAGGAGGAGATAAGTTGGAGGCAAAAATCCAGGTGCAAATGGCTAAAGGAAGGGGACATCAATACAAGGTTTTTTCATTCTTTAGCAAATGGGAGGAGAAGGAAGAATTCTGTTTCAAAATTAGAGTGGGATGGGCAATTGTTGACAAGGGAAGATGATATAGCTCAAGCTTTGGTTAATCACTTCGAATTAGCGTATGACAACCTAGGGAGACCTAGTGAGAGCTTAGAGGACTTGGAGTGGAGGGTGGAAGATAGTGTCTTATTAGAATCTTTGGAAAAAAGATTTGAGGCCCAAGAAGTGAGAAATGCAATCTTCTTCATGGGTCGAGCTAAAGCTCCTGGGCCTGATGGTTTTTCAATGGCCTTCTATCAAGATTGTTGGGAGATAATTATAGAAGATTCGTTGGAGGTTTTTGAAGAGTTCTATGAGAGAGGCAAATTTAGTTCGGGAGCAAATGCAACTTTTATTGCCTTGGTTCCTAAGAAGAAGGACGCTCTCCAACCAAAGGATTTTAGACCTATAAGCCTGGTGGGACGCATGTATAAGGTCATCTCTAAGGTCCTAGCACTAAGATTAAAAAAGATCCTCCCGTCTCTAATCTCACCGTATCAAGGGGCCTTTGTAGAAGGAAGACAAATTGTAGATCAAATACTTGTTGCCAATGAATGTGTTGAGGTGAAGAGGAGGAGAAAGGAAAAGGGGTTGGTTTGCAAATTAGATCTTGAAAAGGCATATAACATGGTGGACTGGGATTTTTTACTAGAGGTTCTCAAGCGGAGAKGGTTTGGGGAGAGATGGTGCAATTGGGTAAAGGGATGCATTTCTTCATGTCATTTCTCAATATTGTTGAATGGTGTAGCTAGGGGTTTCTTTCCTGCAAAGAGGGGTATTAGGCAAGGAGATCCATTGTCCTTATTCCTCTTTACCCTAGTAGCTGATGTGTTGAGTGCCATGATTTCGAGGGTCGATGCTAACAATTTGATAAGAGGTTGGAGGACTGGTAGGGAGG